TGTCAACAAACATTGTTACAGGGAGATACACCATGTGTTCTGGTAACTATTTGGAATATTGCATAATATTAATAATAATAACTTTATTGCATCTTTAGAAATACAGAATGTTCTATCAGTGTATAGCAATAAAAACAAAAACATTGAAAACCAGTTTGTTATTCTAACACCATTCATGTCAAAATGCCTGACTCTGACCTATATCTGATGTTGAAATAACAGGAAAAAACAATGTTTTACTTCATGGGAATATAAAGGCTTTAAAGCCAGCATTGAAACCTAAGCAGCAAGCATAAAAAATGTACACATTTGAAGTGATTTTGGTTCACCAATGATCTTCAGAATGAATGTTATTTCTTTCATTGTCGACATAAAGTACATGTATGAGAGACAGCACATTTTTCCCACCAGCTGACATATTTCCGGATGAGAATATTCTTGACTTTGTGTAATTATCATTCACCATCACTGAACCTGACACTGAGAAGGGAATGCTTCAGTTGATCTGTAAATGCCCAGGTCATCCAATATGGGACAGCTGCACTGAACCAGTCAATTCTGTCACCTTTGGGTACTTGCAAACACTTCTGTCAGTCCATCTAGAACAACAGAACACAGCATACTGTTTGTTAGATATCTACTGAAGCACAAAGCCTACTGAGAAACCCATTATTTTTGACATGTTGGCTGAGAATAAAACTTTCTTTTCCCTCTGTTTTTGAACAAATGTATGATTCCTTTGATCAGTGGAAGAGGTCACAGACAAACAGTGTGGACACATAATTCATTTCTACCTTGTCAAGCCATGTTACAAACATTACCAGGGAATCTATAAAAAAAACATGTAATCCTGATTAAGGTTTCATCAACTGTTCTCATTACCAAAGATTTCAGGCAAGTTAAGGCCAGTGATGGACCTCTATCCTCTGAAGTATTAATTTTGTTATTTAAGCTACACTCATTCAAGATGGTTATGCCACAGTTTCTAAGATAGTGTATCAAACCGAATGATTTCCTAGTGATGTTGAATCTGAAGGATGCTTAATTATACATCACAATGAGATTAGTGTTCGAAAGAACAGTATATCAGTTCAAAGTTTTGTCATTGCCTCTGTTTGGCACCATTACATCAAGCATCTACTGTACACATACAGTGTATGTACACTTTTGTTTGGAAAATTGCACTTAACACTGACCTCTGGTTTACCTAGGAATGGAAATACACATGCAATGTGTTTTTTTCTACCTTTCATAAAAGCATCACAACAAGATTAGAAATTGACTCACACATAATCTGCATATTCACTGTGGAAACTGATCAGTGCAGTGAGAATATTTACACCTGTGGAGGACCTTCATATGATTCTATGGTTCAGAACCTGATACTGAATTCTCTTGAATTTAAAAGTATCGTTCTGGTGACAAGAGCTTGTGTTTATTTGCCATACGGATGGAAAACATTAGATGAGTCCACAAGACTATTAGGCTCACATTCACAAGTTCTTAGAATCTAACAGAACAGACACTCCCCTGACACTCTTAATGTCTGGTGAAACATTGGAACATTTTCTTCTTGGTCTAGGCCACCTAATACAATTGTCTTTAATAAATCAAAGTTTTCTTTTGTTATATAAAAGACTTTTTCTAAACTGTATTTATATTTTTTTACAGGTGTTGTTGAGACTGGATTATTCATCAATATGGCAAAGAAAGTGTATTTTGGAATGCCAGATGGTACAGTTTCCACCAGATAGAACTTAGTCTGTACATGTTGGTAGTAATATTCCATGGAAATGCAACATGTTGATGTTGCGCCCTGGGTTTTAGACCTCGCATAACAATAAATATTAAAATAGCTCACAACAAGAATAGTCTTGTATACAGTATTTACTTTGTATTCTCATTTAAAAAACACAAAATTCATTCTTAGTTTCCAGTTTACAAGAGACTTAACTGACTGTTGTCGATGACTTTGCAATGTAGGAGAACATACAGTGGTCAATACCATGTAAAGTAAAGATGTACATTTGTGTTGATTGCTTGCAGCTGTTGGTTACCTCTGATGGTCTATAATTAATTATCCCTCTGTTTTTCTGTCAGACTAACACAATGAGTCATTTCTAGCACAGAGGCAAGACCTATTCTTCAAGCTCATTACGAGGCACACCCGGGTCACCAGCTTGTCACAATGGTTAAAAAAAGACACAAATCCATTTAGAGTGGACCCGAGTCTCGATACAAAAATGTATTGAACAAAAAGTGAACCCCTGTAATCTGTGTGGGAAACCCCACATATATAAAAGACAATAGAATAAATTATACAGTAACACTACAGATGTGTTGTACCTCCTACCTTGAAACAAAAATTATAGTACATGTTCCCAGTTGGTTGTTATGAATTTTTATTGAGGCATTCTCACTGTGACCATACATACAGTAGTCTATAAACAATATGTTGAACTACAACTGTATGTCTACATGTTTATGAACCAATCCTATCATGGTGAGTTTAGCTCATTGATGGTTATCTTTACTGGTAATAATGTAGCATAAATAGAAATAAAAATGAATAATTCATGTACTTGTATTACAGTTCTACAAACTTGTACATTTGTGTGATTTTGTATGTATCATATTTTAACATTTAAATAATACAGTCCATGTACAATTCATATATTTGTGATTTGGCAAATTTTTAAATTGTAGAATGCATTGATTGTAAGTTGTCTGTCAATGTCACTGAATTTACAGTATCTTCACAGAACAGTTATTTCCAATAAAAAATATTGAAAGTATATGTTAAAATTAGTTATGCATCAACATTGTCTCAACGAATGTCGATTATTGCACTCTGCGACAGGATCGCAGGGTCACTCGGCGAAGAGCATGATTCCTATTGGTTGGTGGGTCGAACAGCGCGAATCCCAATGGTCGATGTTCACCTCATGCCTTATAAAAAATTAAGTTTTAAATGGTACGGTAAAAAAAAGTGTGTAAACACTATGTACCGGCGACATGCCGCACTGTTCGGTGATCGGCAAGCACATGGAAGACAAATTGTGGGACCTAACAAATGACACATGGTTTACAGTGATTAGACACATCACATCAACAGCAAAACTATATCCCCAGTTTGTTCAATGTACAGTGTTTTCTTTACAAGATTTGCTCAGTTGTCTGTAACTTTGTTGTTAAACGATTAATAAACATTGCTTATTTGAACTATTTTTTGGGTCAATTTGTGTTTTTTTTTTATATACAGGTTGTTTCTCTGTTAGTATGATTGTATGTGGGTGAAAAATTATTCCACCATTGTCCCAAGATCCTCTTGCTGAATAAGAATAGAATTCACTCAGCAGAAACTATATCACTGAATTCCAGATTGGCTTTTGGTACAGATCCTTGAATCAGATATTTTGCTTAGTAATTACTTGATATTAGTATATACATTGTTCATCTTTATGTCTTTCCTTAAATCCATTGAAACTTAATGCGTGTATAGTATTAGTACATTAATGGAACACTTTCTGGAATGTCAAGTTGTAACCTAAATACAGTAAAGTACTAAACAATGTAGGCTTGTGCGCTATTTGTGCAAGGGCCACTGTCATTTCTTTGAAAATAAACAGAAGGGACGAATCGGTAAAAATAAAATCCAACTCTTCAAAAAACAATAAAAATAAACTTCATATAAAACACCTAGCGATAATTATGTATTTTCAGTATATATTGTTTTGTTACCAAAAAGACATGTACTGTTCACATTTTGAATATTGCATTGTGTTTGCCCAAAAGGAAAGCTTTCACGACTGGTTTTAAAGAGTCCTATAATTGACATGCAGCATTCAATTACGTGTTGCATAGCGCAGATAAACAAAATACCATTGGGTGCCTAGCACCGCACTGCAACATACAGGTAAAGGTGATTTGAACTTTGATACAAAATGCTCCAGTGTAGTATAACGGACAAATAAATAAATAACTAAAGTTATAACATAACTGGGGACAGCTACATTTTATTACTCAACATGGCGGAGCATGACGCTGAAGTGGTGTACATTGCCGGTGAGTTTTTATCAGCTATGATTTCTGGTAGTTTTACATGAAATTTATAAATGTTTACCTAATATGTATGTATGCTATTGTGAGAGATCCGTGCTGCCAGCCAAGTGAATACAGTTCATATTCATTTATTTGAACAACATTCATTTACGTGCACGATACTTGGTGTATCTCGTTATAATTTTATTTATGTAAATATACAGTGCTTGACAATATGTAATTTTCATATTTATGCATTATTTTCGCTGATAAACGTTTATTGGGATGTAAAGGACTTGCACAGACGTGCACGTAGGTGCCGCTATTTGTGAATTACATGTAGTTATTTTAGTTTGAGGAAATATCGTAAAGTTATACAAGCTTTCGGGCGTTGTTGTAACACTGGTACTGTATATACATACATACAGTAATGTGATGGTCAGTCATGTTTGTGCTTGTTGCATATTGTATTGCGTTCTTAAGGGGCGTGGGCAACTGCAAATTGGTCATCCTCCCTTGGGGTCTTGAGATACGATGATATAATTATTTTTTTTTGCGTTTTACGTTCTTGTATTTTTGCATTTCTTTTTATGAATATACTTCACCCTAACGTTTACTCTGCACAGATTTATTTTTTACCATATTTCATCGAAAGAGTTTCTAATGGTCATCCAATTGTCATATAAACTATACATTTAATATGTGGGTTATTAATGGTGATACATTATGTGACGTTATACTTCTGTTCAAATGACACAACTGAAGTGTGTTGCTGTCTGTATTGCACACATACAAAATACCTTTGTGGTTGTAATAGACTTGTAATAGATCTTATCTGTCACAGTGACCTGATTTGATTTATCGTATCATAGTTTATATTTACGTGAGCCATTACTTAATAACCTTTGACTGAAAATGAGTGACCAATTTACTAATTGGTGTGAATAAACTGTAAATACATATAAATTGCAGGGTGGTTCGTATTGGATCATCATTGGATTTATTTGTTCATATATGTGCGGTAGATATGTACATCACGTTGTTTATTTCGCCCTGCAAGTTTGCCTACAGGGGCGAGGCGCTTTGAGTCCCCCGTTTACTGTTCTAATATCATTTATGTCATTATCCATTTTCAGAAACCAGTACAGAAAACAAAACAGATATACGTGAAGAAAAAGTAACAAATGTGCGATGTAAATTCAGAGACGAAAATGAGACGCCATATACAAGATTACTGGGAGACACAGATAGAGTAGGTGAGCCTGATACACACGTAGATGATGATGATGACCAACACAAGTCACGTGATACAACAGTAGCTGAGCCTGATACACACGTAGAAGATGATGACCAACACAAGTCACGTGATGCAACAGCAGCTGAGCCTGATACACACGTATATGATGATTACCAACACAAGTCACGTGATACAACAGAAGCTGAGCCTGATACACACGTAGATGATGATGATGACCAACACAAGTCACGTGATACAACAGTAGCTGAGCCTGATACACACGTAGAAGATGATGACCAACACAAGTCACGTGATGCAACAGCAGCTGAGCCTGATACACACGTATATGATGATTACCAACACAAGTCACGTGATACAACAGAAGCTGAGTCTGATACACACGTAGATGATGGTGACCAACACAAGTCACGTGATACAACAGTA